AGGCTTGACATTGCCACCAAGTCACGTCTTACGTTATTTAGAACCTTGTATATGATCTCTATTTAAATTTAATGTGATACGTTTTAAATAGATACTCAATTTAGTCCTCCAATTTTAAATAATCAATACAAAAAATTTTAAACAAACTTAACTCTTATTAATAATATAAATGTTTTATAAATTTTTTACCCGTGGGAACCACCGGTTGTAACTTAGTTATGAATATGCATGTGAAAAATTCCGTGCAATGAATTGTAGTATTCTGCAGTTTGTTTGTGGCAGACGACTTATTTGGCAAAGCGTTGTCGTTTTGGAATGCAAAATCCCGAGGACACATATTTTGTTCCTGTCGAATTACCCCAACTTGCCACCATTGTTTGTCTTTTTGATCCTCGCAATATTTTCTAATCATAACTTATAGATATTTTCTCTTCATAAAAAAAAAATCAAATAAAGATGAATGTACCGCTGTTTTTTGGATACTTTTTATTTATTTATTTATTTTCATATATATGAAACGTAATCACAAGACAAGACCTCCGAAACTTGAAAGCTATAATTTTTATGTTTCTTGTTACAAGTTTTTTTTTCTTCATAATAGTAATAATCAAACTTATGCTTCTATTCTCTTGTATTAATAATTTATATTGTTCTAGATTATTTTGGTCATTATCTTTTTTTAATTATAATTTAAGATTAGCCTCAAGTAAAAACAAAATGTAGAGTTATTCACTAAGATTTAGAGCCCATATAATATTTTGTGAACATTTATCACAAAATGATCACTTAAAGAAAAAAACTCATCAAAACATGATATAATATTTTCTGACAAAAACTTTAGCAAATTTTTCTCGAGGTACCATTTTTTGCTGAGTATGGTATTTCATGGACTTTTTTTCTTTAAAATCATATTTTCCTAGTTGATTTAAAACCTGAGTTTCATAACTCAATTTGTGTTTTTTATAAGACTGAAGGAGTCGTGCAGAGGATGCCGAACTCCATATCAACCATAACAAGGAAGAAATGGGGGAAGAAGTGAGGAAGAAGAAGAGAGGGTGTGAGTTGTCGAGTGGGGGAGAAGAATGGGGGAAGAAGAAGAGAGACTCATTGTGCCATTGCCGAGAACCGTTGTTGAGCTTGGTGTGCCAAGGTTAAGGTGCGGTTTGCGCCGAGTCCATGTCATCACTGCGAGTCCACTCCATCAAGCCTAAACTAAGGATGAGTGTGGGACGGAACCGGTATCGACCGGTACCGTTCCTGATTCCGAATACCGAATTTGATCGAAAGTCAATCTTGAGTACCGTACCGAATTAACGTTATCGGTACCGGGAATGGTACAAGTTTTCGGTACTAGTACCGGTACCGACGGTCGAATCCATAATTTTGTGAATTTGGAGTACCGAGTACCGTCCCATATTTTTAAATTTGGTTCGGCTCGTTCGGTATCGGTACGGGATCAGCATTTGGTGCAAACTGTTCATCCCTAGCCTACACTAAGATAAACCGAAAAGAAGATGATAATGGAATTCCAACATATATTTTTTTCTATTTGGGGCACTTTTTGAATTTTTTTCAAAAAATATAAAAGGTTCTAAAGTAAAATTAAAAATAATTATATTTATATGTAAATTTTTTTTAGCTATTGGGGGCATGTGTCCCTACTCCTAAAGCGTTGCATCCGCCACTGGATGGTCCTTTGCATAAGAAAAAAAAGATTTTAAACTTTCAAAAATTAAAAGGATAATAACATAATAAACACAATGTATTCATCATAGTGTTATTGTTTTTCATATTGTTACATATAGTTTACCCTTGAAAAAGATATGGCTCACCGTAATCGTTCACTTAAGGCTATTCGGAGTGGGCATTAACCCACGCGTGAGTTTCCTATGTGGCACACATGTGGCACACTAACTCACCGGTAAACACCGCCCTGTGGACCAGTGGTTTGGCTATGGAGTGACTTGTAGTGGTTGTGAAGACGGAGGAAGACGCACATTTTGATTGGGTCTTTCATTTTTCGCTTACATTTTCTCTCTTTCTCTCTCCTCCTTTTTGCATCTTCACTACCAACCCACCGGTGAACATCATTCCACAACCTAGTGGGTTGGTTGTGGAATGGTAAAATACCTACGTGACGCTAAGTTGGCTAATGGTCCGGCTGTGACCACTCCCCACATCCTAATGAGTCTCACTATCAATTCTTTGTGAAGGATGGAACGGAGCTCGAGGTTCTTATCAAGTTAATAAGGTGATTAGAAGAGCTATGCGGAGTACATGTCCAGCTCAAGAACCTATAATAACAATTAAAATGATTATTTTTAATAAATTATGAGAGGTGCTATAAGGTTAGAGGGAGTGGTAACACTCCTAATACCTTGTCATGTCATTTTTTTGAATGCCACCTCATTTTTTTGTCTTAACATCCCATTCTTGGCATTTCAAAGGGAGTGGTAACACTCCTAACACTCCAATATTTTTTTTTTCATATTTAATTAAGTTATATTATTTTAATATCCAAAATATTACATCGGTTCGTAGAGAGAGCAAGAAACGAAAGCAAATCACACTTGTATAATGAAAACAGGAACATTTAATTTTATATAGGATTTGAATTAAATTTTGATTATCTATTAAATGTATTTAAACGTCTAATAAAGACAATAGAAAAACATGGATACATTCAAACCCATTTTATTATTAATTTATAGACATAAATATTAAATAATATTATATGTTAGTAGACTTTATTGATTAAACCTTCAAATTTTAAACTTCAAAGGATACCTTCATAAAGAATATAAATTTTTTGGGTCCACTTTATTCATTCAAAAGAAGAACGTGACCTCACGCGCCACACAACAAAACAAAGTGCTCTCTCTCTCTCTCTCTCTCTCTCTCTCTCTCTCTCTCTTTGTCCTTTCTACTCATCTGCTACAATAAATTCAATCAATTGCGCCTCCGTTAAACGTCGGTGGAGTTTTTCGCGCCTCCGTTAAACGTCGGTGGAGTTTTTGGCAGTAATCGAAGAAGAAGAAGAAGAAGGGCATCAGGAGTGATTTTCAGGGGGGGAGGGGGGGGGGGGGCTGTTTGGTTGCCTTGTTTTACAGGAAGGGAAAAGTAGAAAATGAGAGGCTGCACCAATCAGATTACAGCTCCATCCCCTCTCTCCTCTCGTTATGTATGTAGCGATTCCTCCTTGGCGACTCCCCTAGCGAATGCTAAGGGTTGGTGTTTTGTGTCCATAGCGAGGCTAACGAGCGGTGGTAGCGAGGGCCACTCCGTTTAGTCTTACAATCATAAGCCAATCTTATCCCTAAATCGATCATGTTAAAATCGAGATTGTTTTTAGAAAGTAGGATTATTGTTAGACTAAACGGAGTGGCCCTCGCTACCACCGCTTGTTAGCCTCGCTATGGACACAAAACACCACCCCTTAGCATTCGCTAGGGGAGTCGCCAAGGAGGAATCGCTACATACATAGCGAGAGGAAAGAGGGAATGGAGCTGTAATCTGATTGGTGCAACCTCTCATTTTCTACTTTTCCCTTCCTGTCAAACAAGGCAACCAAACACCCCCCCTGAAAATCACTGTTGATGCCCTCCTTCTTCTTCTTCGATTACTGCCAAAAACTCCACCGACGTTTAACGGAGGCGCGAAAAACTCCACCGGCGTTTAACGGAGGCGCGATTGATTGAATTTATTGTAGCAGATGAGTAGAAAGGACAAAGAGAGAGAGAGAGAGCACTTTGTTTTGTTGTGTGGCGCGTGGGGTCACGTTCTTCTTTTAAATGAATAAAGTGGACCAAAAAAATTTATATTTTTTATGAAGGTATCGTTTGAAGTTTAAAATTTGAAGGTTTAATCAATAAAGTCTACTAACATATATTATTATTTAATATTTATGTCTATAAATTAATAATAAAATGGGTTTGAATGTATCCATGTTTTTCTATTGTCTTTATTAGACGTTTAAATACATTTAATAGATAATCAAAATTTAATTCAAATTCTATATAAAATTAAATGTTTCGGTTTTCATTATACAAGTGTGATTTGCTTTCGTTTCTTGCTCTCTCTATGAACCGATGTAATATTTTGGATATTAAAATAATATAACTTAATTAAATATGAAAAAAAAATATTGGAGTGTTAGGAGTGTTATCACTCCCTTTGAAATGCCAAGAATGGGATGTTAAGACAAAAAAATAAGGTGACATTAAAAAAAATGACATGACAAAGTGTTAGGAGTGTTACCACTCCCTCTAGCCTAAGATTGTTATAGGATCGTAAAATCATGAACATGATCATAAGCATATTTATATATTTTATAAAAAATTAAAGAATATCAATAAAATGATAATTTGCTTTTATCTTTTTATTGATACTTTATTTACTTTAAGAAAAAAAATTTAGCTGATTTATATTTAAAAATACTAACATATTTGATATTTAGATTTTATGTTTTCCATTGGCTCTGTATTATTTTAATTAACTATTTAGACTAAATCAAATAATTTTGATGTTTCATTTATTATCTTAAATTATTTATTATCTCAAATTAGATAAGCTAGATTTGTAGTTTTAGTTCTAAAATTGTCGCTCATATCTAGACGAACGGATGGATATTTAGTTATAAGGTTGACATCTTATATTGCAAGTACTTACTCTTTAATGCTGGACATTTAAACCTATGATTGTCTAAAATGTGGAGTCTGAATTCAAATCTTTTAATGTATTTGATTTATAGTTAATCCTTTTAATATAATTTACAAATTAGTCATTGTGCCACATAAGCTTTTGAGAGCTTTTAAGAAAATGTTAGAAAAAATCATTTAATTAATTTTGAAAGTTTTAAAAGTTTTTAACTTTTAGTTTTATATAATTTTACATTTTTAAAAATTAACAAATAAAAAATAAATAATAAATAATTTTATTAATATTGTACAAATAAAAGCTTACGGCTACCGCTACCATCTAAGTTTACAAACATTTACTATCACGATCTAAGTTTACAGATCTTATAAAACACACGAAGTTAAAACCAATTAACATCTCGATAGAGGAAGATATCCAAAACTTAATTAGATAAACGTAGTGATGAGCTTCATCTTCATCGTCGTGGTTGGTTTCGTATTTTCTCTTCTGCTGCTGCTGCTTCCTCCTTGGATCTTCTCATCTTCAACAATCAACACCGCTTGTTGGTTTCATTTTGTTTTCCATCTCGGCCCACTTCCTCAACGGTGTCCATCCAATCAATCTACCGATCTAATTCGTTCAGGGGCGTGATTTTGAAAATTTTTCTTGATTCAAACCGTCTATTTTGGGGTAGATTTCTTTCACGCTGCTGTTTGTGCCACATGTACAACATTCAAAGCAATGGGTACACGTATCTGTTTATCCAGTTGCAGGTTTTGGTTATTGTTATCAATATCGATCTTATGTTTCATTTACAGTTATGTTTTTATTGAAAGGTGATTGAAGATAATTTGTTGAAGATGAAGAATAAAACTAAAAGAAATCGAGTAAGAGGATCATAAATACCCTCGGCTCCACTTCAGAAAGACTTCGTTTCGGTTACGTGTTCTTCTACTGACCTAAGCAATGAATGAAATCATTTAATATCAGTATGAAAAAAGTCTATGATTATTTAATTGAATCAATGAAAACTCATCATCCCAACAAATTTTGCTGATTCACCTCACCTCTTGCATGGCTGTGAGTCATAGACACTCACACACTCTATAAAGCTTACAACACTGTTCATTACTATTCATCTCCCCTCTCTTTTCTCTCATCTGCAACCCAAATTCTTCTGTTTTTTCCCCTCTTTCTCTCTCTCAAATCCACGACATAACCGCTAATTTACTGCAAAAACTTTCAATTTTATCGATTGAGTCGGTGTTTGATTCTGACGTTGTTCAATTTTTGGTTTTATGATGATCTAGAACAAATTGGGGTTATGCCTGGGAATAATTACAATGCCAATTCACCAGTCCCATCGAGTCGAATAGATCGGCTGTTGAGACAAAGGCTACGAAAAACCAGCAAAGCTTCAAATTCTAATGACGCTAATGGAAACGGCAATAGCAATGGCAATGAAGGTTTGGATCATGAACAGCGATTAAGGGAAGGTGATGACTTTGTGGAACAATATCTTGAAGGAGCCTCCGCTGCACGTGACAGATGGGAAAAACCAGATAGTGGACTTTTTACACAACGACTGTTAGTCGTTGCTAATCGACTACCAGTTTCTGCTGTTCGTAGAGGTGAAGAAAGTTGGTCTCTTGAAGTTAGTGGTGGTGGCCTTGTTAGTGCCCTTTTGGGTAAGTTACTAGTAAATATTTAATGTAAAATTTGGTTATTTTTATAATTTTTTATTTTTTTTTTTTAAATTATTGAAGGTGTGAAGGAGGTGGAGGCAAAATGGATTGGATGGGCAGGTGTTAATGTCCCAGATGAGCCTGGGCAGAGGGCACTAACTAAAGCATTGGCAGAAAAGGTACTGTATAAAGTATAAAGTATAAACTACAAAAGTACAAAACCATTTATACTTTATTTTTATTTTTTCAATTAAAAATAACATAAAATGTAATGTTAAATATATTTGATGCAGAGGTGTATACCGGTGTTTCTAGATGAAGAAATCGTACATCAATATTACAACGGGTATTGCAACAACATATTATGGCCACTTTTCCATTACCTCGGACTTCCACAAGAAGACCGTTTGGCTACAACTAGAAGCTTCCAATCCCAATTTGCTGCCTACAAAAAAGCAAATCAAATGTTTGCTGACGTGGTAAACGAGCATTATGAAGAAGGTGATGTAGTTTGGTGCCATGATTACCATCTTATGTTTCTTCCAAAATGTCTCAAAGATCACAACAAAAACATGAAAGTTGGTTGGTTTCTTCATACCCCCTTCCCCTCTTCTGAAATTCATCGGACTTTACCTTCTAGATCCGAGCTCTTACGTGCTGTTCTTGCTGCTGATTTGGTGGGGTAAGTTTGTAATTTTCTTATTATTTAAAGTTTATTGGTAAAAAAGAGTAAAGTATGTTGCTATTTCTTGCAGTTTTCATACGTATGATTATGCAAGACATTTTGTGAGTGCGTGTACTCGTATCTTGGGACTCGAGGGAACACCTGAAGGAGTAGAGGATCAAGGGAGGCTTACACGTGTTGCAGCAGTAAGTTTTTATTTTTATTTTTGTAAACATTGTAAATTGATTTTTTTTTTAATATTTTTAATTTATGGAAATACAGTTCCCAATTGGTATAGATTCAGATCGCTTCATACATGCTCTTGAGGCTCCTCAAGTCCAGGAGCACATTAAGGAATTGAAGGAGAGATTTTCTGGGAGAAAGGTAATTTTACTTTTTTAACTTTTTTTTTTTTTTTTTTTTTCGTTTTAATTATTTTTCCTAAGATTCTTGATTATTTTCTTTTCTTTTTTACTTTTTACAGGTGATGTTAGGTGTTGATAGGTTAGATATGATCAAAGGGATTCCACAAAAGATACTCGCGTTCGAGAAGTTTCTAGAGGAAAATCAATATTGGCATGATAAAGTGGTTTTGTTACAGATTGCAGTACCAACAAGAACCGATGTTCCTGAATGTATAATAGCAAAATACTTTCATTGATTTTTTTTGTTTTTTATAGCATCCTACTTTCATTGATTTTCATTGATTTTCGATTATGTGGTTTTACAGATCAAAAACTCACAAGTCAAGTTCATGAAATTGTGGGACGGATAAACGGTAGATTTGGCACATTAACAACCGTTCCAATTCACCATCTGGTAAATAAAATAGAAATGTACTTTTTTTATATTAATATTTCTTTTCTCATAATAGCAATGTAATTTATTCTTTACCTATAATAACAATGTACTTTCATTTCACTACCAATATTTGCAGGATCGTTCTCTTGATTTTCAAGCTTTATGTGCTTTGTATGCTGTCACTGGTATGTTTATCAAGCTTTAAATTCCATCATCTTATATATAATAATACCAAATGACTAAAATAGATAATAAAAAATTTCCAAAAACGGAAATATTGCATTTTTTTACTGACAATATATTGTTATACTCTTGTGATTTTACTAGATATAGCACTTGTGACATCTTTGAGAGATGGAATGAATCTTGTTAGTTATGAATTTGTCGCATGCCAAGATGAGAAAAGAGGAGTTCTCATTTTAAGTGAAGTAATCATCAATTTATCATTAGTTCATTACCCTTATTCTTAATCTTATAAAAAAAAAAAAAAATCCAATTCAAGATTTTTTATAAATTATAAACTTGTATTTCTCTAGTTTGCTGGTGCAGCTCAGTCCCTAGGTGCAGGGGCTATTCTTGTTAACCCATGGAACATAACTGAAGTTGCAGCTTCCATAGGCCAAGCTTTAAATATGTCAGCTGAAGAAAGAGAAAAACGTCATTTACATAATTTCTCACATGTCACAACTCACACTGCTCAGGAATGGGCAGAAACTTTTGTCAGGTACGTACAAAATGACCAAAATGCCCTTACAATGTTTGTTTTATTGAAATTTTCCATTGAAAGATGTAAAGATTTATTTGTTTTTGAAATTTATGTAGTGAACTAAATGATACTGTGCTTGAAGCACAACAAAGAATTAGACAAGTTCCACCTTTGCTTCCTGTTGAAGAGGCAATTGACCGATATTTGCAGTCAAGCAACCGACTTCTTATACTGGCAAGTAAAAGAAAAATCACATTTCAGTTTATAAAATTTGCATTCTGATATTGATTTATATATATATATATATATATATATATATATATATATATATATATATAAAATTACAGGGATTTAATGCGACATTAACTGAACCTGTTGATAGTCCTGATAGACGTGGAGGTGATCAGATAAGAGAAATGGATCTTAAATTACACCAGGATTTGAAAGAACCTCTCACTAGGCTTTGTAGTGATCCAAAAACCACAGTGGTTGTACTCAGTGGAAGTGACAGAGGTGTACTTGATGAGGTACATTCTCTAAAAGGGTAAAATGGTCATTTAGTCTCATTCAGACTATTTAAGAAACCTATTTTCGTTTTTTTCCCTCCCAACTCCTCTAAAAATATTGCTAACATTGATGAACATTGTGAAATTTGTTTTTTTGTAATGTAGGGGTAAAATGGTCATTTAGTCTCGTTCGGACTATTTATTCAATCTAGAAAGATAAAAGACCTTATGTATACAGCAACTTTATCCAGAAAAACATCATTTACACTTAAGCTGCTTTACTCATATACGCCTTCATGGGAATAAATAAGAAACAACCCCCAGCTGACTTCTTGTTTTTTTTTTTTTTTTGATGTTTGTAGAACTTTGGTGATTATGACATGTGGTTGGCGGCTGAAAATGGAATGTTTTTGAGGTCCACTAGAGGTGACTGGATGACAACGATGCCTGAACATTCAAATATGGAATGGGTTGATAGTGTAAAGGTGTTGTTAATTACCACTTCGTATTTGCAGTTTTTAAGGTTTATTTTTGTCCATTTTTCACCTTTTTGACTTTTTTTTTTTTTAACTTTATAAACTCTTGACAGCATGTTTTTGAGTATTTTACTGAAAGAACACCTCGATCTCATTTCGAGCTTCGTGAGACATCACTTGTATGGAACTACAAGTATTCAGGTATATGCTTCTTATGTTCACATTTGTAATGAAACTATAAGTAATTAAGTATCATTTTTTTAAAGGAAATAACAACGTGATTTACCCTTTTTAAATTGTTTGTGAACACAGATGTGGAATTTGGGAGGCTGCAAGCTAGAGACATGTTACAGCATCTTTGGACAGGCCCTATATCCAACGCGTCGGTGGATGTGGTCCAAGGTAGCCGATCTGTTGAGGTTCGAGCCGTCGGTGTTACAAAGGTGCACTCTGTCTCTGTCTCTGTCTCTGTCTCTGTCTCTGTCTCTGTCTCTGTCTCTGTCTCTGTCTCGATAAATGATGTTTAAAAAATATTCGAGTAAATAAGCTTACCAGATATTCTAATTTAATATTTTTTGAATCAATCTTTATAGGGTGTTACAATTGTTCGAATATTAGGAGAGATCGTTCACAGCAAATCAATTTCGGCGCCTATCGATTATGTCCTATGTGTAGGCCATTCCCTAGGGAAGGTATACGTATATATACTCCCCTATATAATTATGTTTTAACAAATAAATGTATTTTTCTTGAAATATTTCTTAATTAAACTCATAATGTTTATAGGATGAAGATATTTACACGTTTTTCGAGCCGGAGCTTCCATCAGACAACATCGGCATCACGAGACCGAAGCTAAGTGATGCGACAAAGTCGTGTGGAGATAGGAAGTCCGGGAGAAGTGGTGGTTCGAAATCATCTCATAAGCAAACTCAACGAAATACAGAAAACAAGCGAAACAATAACAGTAACAATAACAGTAGCAGTACCAGTAATGGTATTAACAGTAGTGGTAGCAGTAACAGTAACAGTGTTGGGAATGGTGGGAGACGCTCGTCACAATCCCCGGATAAAATAACGTGGAACGTACTTGATCTGAAAGGGGATAACTATTTCTCGTGTGCGGTTGGGCGTAAACGTACAAATGCTCGCTATAGGCTCGATACATCGGATGATGTGGTTTCTTTTTTGAGAGATCTTGCTAGAGCATCGTGAAAATGTATGTGAACTATATAGCAAGATTTTAACTTTTAAAATTTATGTTGCTTATGTGGCATATTATGTGGCAATCACCATCAAGCTTGCATGTAATTACTAATTACGTTAACTACTCATCAAATTGCAATTAAAAATGACTTCAAGTAATCTATGGAAGCGGGATAATAACAATTAAACAAATTCAAAGAATCGATGGAGGCTAGATGTTTACAAATCTGAAAGTCTCAAGCGCACACATACATTTAATCATTTTAGGTACATTAATACATTATACTTGCCAAGAAGGTCACTTTTTTGTTTTGATTTTTCTAACATAATGGCATGTTCTTGAGATATACTATAATGGTTTCTGATTGAATCAAAATTAAATATTGGTAATTGTATGTTGTATATATCAATTAAAAGAACGTGTACAAGAGGAATATATAGATAACACAATTACATTCTAGACCCTGAACTATAACTATGTTATTAATATCTGACTAATATTCCCCCGCAAGCTAAGGCCGGGTAAGGACCTGTAGCTTGGATCGTAACCCTTCAAACCTCTGTGAAGATAACGGTTTAGTGAAAATATCAGCAATCTGATCATCAGTAGAGATAAATTGAACTAAGAGTTTCTTCGCAGCAACCTTCTCTCTAACAAAGTGAAAATCAATCTCAACATGCTTCGTGCGAGCATGGAACACAGGATTGGCAGACAAATAAGTAGCACCAAGATTATCACACCATAAGATCGGTGCTTTAGTAACCGGAATGCATAGCTCTCGTAATAAGGTTTCAAGCCAGGTAACTTCAGCAACAGTATCAGCTAGGGCTTTATATTCAGCCTCAGTGGATGACCGAGAGACAGTCTTTTGTTTCCTTGCTGACCAAGAAACTAAATTCGAACCAAGATATATAGCATATCCCCCGGTGGACCGACGGTCATCCGGTCAACCAGCCCAATCAGCGTCTGAGAAAGCAGTAACCAGAGGAGATTGCGCATCTCCATAAGCATGAATAGTGGTGTCAGGCGATGGTGTAAGACGAAGACCAAAAGTACTGGTGCCCTTAAGATACCGAAGAGTTCGTTTAACAGCAGACCAATGATTAGTAGTTGGAGAATGCATGAACTGACAGACTTTGTTGACGGCATAGGTGATGTCGGGTCTGGATAGGGTGACATATTGTAGAGCGCCAACTACTTGACGATACCGTACAGGATTCTCAAAGAGTGGGCTGTCACCAAGAGAGAGAAGCACCTGTAGGAAGTGGAGTACTGGTCGGCTTGGCATCGGTAAGACCTGCATGCTGTAAAATGTCCAAGACATATTGTTGTTGAGACAAGAAAAGACTAGTGCCATGATAATCAACTTTGACACCAAGAAAATACGAGAGAGCTCCCATGTCTTGAAGAGAAAAAGTCTGACTTAGGCTGCTTACTATGTTCTCAATAGCACCAGGGTTGTTACCTGTAATGATGATATCATCAACATAAACTAACATATAAATTTTTGTACCCAAATCTGAGAGTATAAAGAGGGAGGGGTCCGTGTGAGACCCTTTAAAACCAAGAACATGAAGAGCCCGAGATAGCCGATGAAACCAAGCACGTGGGGACTGCTTAAGACCATACAGGGATTTATGTAGTAAGCAAACATGGTTGGGTTTGCGTGGATCAACAAAGCCATGAGGTTGGCGTAAATAGACAGTCTCATTAAGATCACCATGAAGAAAGGCGTTTTTAACATCCAGCTGACGTAGGGGCCAGTTGTTGGACATAGCTAAGGACAGAACTACCCGGACAGTAGTAAACTTGACAACTGGGCTGAACGTCTCATGAAAATCAATACCGGGTTGCTGATGAAACCCCTTGGCTACGAGACGCGCCTTGTAACGTGTTACAGTACCAGCGTGGTCTCGTTTAATTTTGTAAACCCATTTGCAGTCGACAATATTAAGATTAGGTGAGTGTGGCACAAGCGTCCATGTGTCATTGCGTAGTAGGGCTTCATATTCATCAGCCATGGCTTTTTGCCAGTGTGGATGTTTAGCAGCAGCAGAGAAGGTTGTGGGTTCCTGTTCATGCTGGGTAGTAACATGAAAAGCAGATGAGTCAAACCGAGTTGACTTTTTCGGGTTTGGACGAAGGTTAGAGGGGCGAACCCGAGTGGCAGGAGTGTCTGTAGAAGGAGCCCCAAGGGATGAAGTCGGGACAGGGTCTGTGGTGGTAGTGTTGCGCCGATTCCGACGCGCATAGGTGAATAACGGTGGCTCCGAGGCAGCAACCGATACTGTTGGAGAAGGCATGGCAGTCGTATTTGCAGGTGACACCGAAGCAGGGGCAGGAAAGGGTATGGTAATCGGAGCTGTGGGTGGGGGTAACGGTGAAAGGGTTGGTGGTGGTATATCATGTGGTATGGATGTCTCAGGGATAACAGGAAGTGGGTAGGTGGATACGTAAGGGTTGGTTGTGGAGGGTGTAGGTGTAACTGGAGCCGGTACGAGAAAGGGAAAAAAATTCTCGTGAAAACGAACATGACGAGAGATGTATACTTTATCCGTAGTGGGATCAAGACATCGGTACCCATGGTGAGAGGAGCTATATCCAAGAAAGACACATGGAATTGACCTAAAATCCATTTTATGTGAATTGTATGCTCTAAGATGAGGAAAACATTGACACACAAAAACTTTCAGAAAAGAGAAATCAGGTTGTCGTTTAAAGAGATGCTCAAAGGGTGATATACGAGAAGTGGTACGAGATGGCATGCGATTTATAAGATAGACTGCAGTGTCAAAAGCAAAGTGCCAGTAAGTATTTGGAACACCTGATTGAGCAAGAAGAGTCAAACCAGTTTCAACCACATGACGATGGCGCCTCTCAACCAGGCCATTCTGTTCACTCGTATGAGGGCAAGAGAGACGGTGAGTAATACCAAGAGAGTTGAAAAAGGGTGTTAATTTTCGAAATTCACCCCCCCCCCAATCCGTTTGAACAGACTTAAGTTTTGTAGAGAATTGACGTTCAGTGACGGTAAGAAATTGTTTAAACACTTCAAAAACATCAGATTTGCGTGTAAGTGGAAATATCCGCATAAAGCGAGAGAAATCATCAACACATAGCAAAAAGTAATTATGACCATCAACTGAGGTCACAGGTGCAGGGCCCCAAACATCACACACAACAAGATCTAGGAAATTTTTACTATTAAAAGTAGAAGTAGACAAGTGAATTTTAGATGATTTCCCAATATGACAAGAAGTGAAAAAAGAATCTGATATACTAGAAACAGGAAGACAATATTTAGAACACATAAACTTTAAAAGTTGCGGATGAGGATGCCCAAGCCGTTGATGCCAAATGTTAGTCGGTGCTTTTAGAGTGGTGAATGCAACTTTGGGAAGACTCTTAAACGACAGAAGACGAATAGAGTAGAGCCCATTGTTACTTGGACCCGTGAGGAAGGTAGTTTTGGTAGTATTGTCCTTCACAACAAAAAAGGAAGAGTGAAACTCAAAGAAAACATCATTATCTAAGAAAAATTTTTGAACAGAAAGAATATTCTTTTTGATTTGAAGAACATGAAGAATATTGGACAATGAAAAAGTTTTTGAAGGTGAATAAAAACGAGTAGAACCAATATTAAGAATAGGTAAACCCATACCATTGCCAATGTGAAGAGCATCCTCCCCAAAATAGGGTGTGGGACTATCAATGGAGGAGAGATCATGAGAAACATGATTGCTTGAACCGGTGTCAGTGAGCCAAGTAGTAGTTTGAGATCGGTTTTCTGCAAAGTTAGCGGAGGGTTGTGGGCGGGAGCGGGTGGTGTTAGGATCACGGTTAGGGCACTGGGACGGGATGTGACCAATACCACACCGGTTACACGTGCCATACACGGTGTTTTGGGTGGAAGCCCATGGGAATTGACTCCTCGTACCTCCTGATGTGGGGTTGTAGCTGCCCCGACCACGACGATTGTTGGAGCCGCGACCACGAGAGGGCTGGTGGCGATTTGTATAGAAGGCTCGGGGTGAGGTGGTAGCCGGGTTGAGTTGTAGACCAAGCTGGGAAACAAGCTATTGAAGGGCTTGAAGGTGACCAGGTGATAGATTAGTGGTGATGGGAGTGGAGCGGTTGGATGAAGTGGCGGTAAAAGCTTGGATAGGAGCAACCGTAGGTGAGGTCTTCTTGACCATAAAATCATGATCAGCAAGAAGACCATGAAGATCTTGAAAGGAGGTAGGTGATTGTCGAGCAAGGAGAGTGGATTTGAGGCCGTTATATTCCTCACGAAGGCCAGATATCACTAACATAACAAGGTCTTTCTTTTTCACAATTTCTCCCATGTTTGCCAATGCATCAGAGTATTCTTGAGCACGTATCAAGTAGGCAGAAGCGGTTTCATCGGCTTTCATCTCTAGTTTAAGGAGTTGGGTTTTGAGTGTGTATTCCCTGGAGGAAGATTGTGGTGCATAGGCTCGTTGTAGAGAGAGCCAAAGATCTCTTGATGTCGTTCCCTGTGCATGTGGGTAAGACGCCTCTGAAATTGTAGACAGGAGGAGCATGCGCACATGCGCATCATTCGCAAGCCAGACAGCATGAGCATGATTCGGTTGGGGTTCGGCTGATATAGCTTTGTCTGCTGCGGGTAGGGTCGGGTTGGGACATGGGACAGATTCATCAATGTAACCAAAGAGATTGTTGGTTACAAGAAACGGGTGGATCATCGTTTTCCAGAAGCCATAGTTGGTAGGGGAGAGGGTAAAGGGAAACTTGTGAGAGTTGTGGGACGTTTTTTCTGTTGTAGAGAAGGCGATAATGGTTGACATGATGACAGATTGTGTTGATCGCTCACCTGCTGAACAAAAAGGAAGAAGAACAAAAAAAAAGGCGGCAGGGATTGTAACCCTAGGGAGCCGATGATGACAGCTCTGATACCAAATTAAATATTGGTAATTGTATGTTGTATATATCAATTAAAAGAACGTGTACAAGAGGAATATATAGATAACACAATTACATTCTAGACCCTGAACTATAACTATGTTATTAATATCTGACTAATAATCAATAAGAAGTTGAAGTAAAAATATTTAACAAAAAAAGAAGACAAAATATGTTGTTATTTCCTATTTTCCTGTGATTTGCATATATTTCTATAAGAACACTTCTATTGTGACCAAAAATCCAAGACTTATAATTAAATCAGAACAACTGAGGGGGTGTTTGGGATTGCTTAAAAAATGACTTTTGGCTTTTCCAAAAAGTCAAAAATTCTAAAAGATGTTTGGCATTTGCAAAAGAACTTTTGGAAATAACTTTTTGGTAAGAAGGAATTGGTGGTTTCCCAAAAGACAAGAAAACATGACTTTTTGTGACTTTTGCCTTCTTACAAGGTAAATTACCTTCAAAAGTCAAAAAAATATTTGGCAAACACTTTTTAAAACTGACTTTTGACTTTTACTCCCTTAAAAGTTAAAATCAAAAAGTTCTTTTACAAAAAGAGCTTTTAATCTTGAAAAGCAATCACAAACACGCCCTGATTATCACTACATAAATTATCACGTGATTGATGGAGGTCAAGGGGTGTGTGGGTTAACGAGATTGTTTATTTTAAGTGTTTATTAATTTACTGTGGTTTGATATTTGTAATAAACAATTATTTTAATTTTTGGATAAAGTAAATGAATATTTGTTTATTGATTTAAATAATTTTTCATTATAGTTGTTTCATTATAATTTACTCAAAAGTACTTATTATTGGCAATAATCAATAGGAAAATGACTTAGGAGGGTAACAAACTATTGATTTTGTTCACATTTGGTCAACTTTTTTTTTGCACACAATATATCATCTAACTTGTTATTTGTGTTCGACATAATCATTTTGACCGGCTATCACATGTGATCAGTCAAAAGGGTTATGGTGAACACAAACAACAAGTTAGATGATATATTGCGTAAAAAAAGGAATCAAATATGAACAAAATCAATAGTTGATTACCTTCCTCAGCCATTTTCTTTTTTATGTATTTTTGTTAGGTATGAAGGACAACGTGACATGCTATACAACCAAACCTTTAATTCAGATCAAGTCGCATTTGCTTGTGAGGGTATCAAATACAAGAGTCTCTTGGTAGAAGCTACAACATGCTCGATGACATTGATGGATGTTAGCAATGATGGAGTTTATGGATGTTAGCAATGAAATACAAGAGTCTCTTGGTAAAAGCTACAACATACCTAATGACATTGATGAAGAAGATCTCATGGGTGGTAAGTATAATTATTATTGTTGTCAACCACTGGCAAATGTATACCTTTATATCTTCAATCTAACAATAAACCTGATTTTAATGAAGAGCTCAACTTGCCTTCAGCTCCCATTGAGCATGCAATACCATCCTACATTGTTAAGGTTGGTATTCCAAGACTTTAATTTTTTAGATACACAGATTAATTAAGGGCATTTTTTGTCATTTTATCTAATGTTTTACCGGCTGAGGATGAATTTGGTTTGCCTCAAGTTCCCCTGCGCATCTGACTCTGCATGGCTACTTTTGCATTATTCATGTGCATGCATTTCACTACACATCTTACCTAACTTTTAAACTATTGCTTGTATTCTTTGGGAAAATGACTCAATAGGGTAACCAACTGTTGATTTTGTTCACATTTAGTCATTTTTTTGTACGTACTATATCATTTAACTTGTTGTTTGTGTTCATTATAACTCTTTGATAGCCAGTCAAAAGGGTTATGATGAGCACAAACAACAAGTTAGATAATATATTGCATACAAAAAAATAAAAAATGATCAAATGTGAACAAAATCAACAGTTGGTTACTCTCCTGGAGTCATTTTCCTATAACCAATTTATATTTTTATCCTTATTTTCTCAAAAAGAAAATTCATATATATTGCAACCTTCCTTGTTAGTTTTGACATGTATAAGCTGAATTGTTGAGTGGTTTTTTATACTATATAAACCAAAAAACAATGTTATAAAAAAACAAATGGTGTTATAAATAAACAATCACAAAATCGATTTGAGTAGGCAACGAGATGCCCCGTAACGAGAAACAACAAGTAGAGGGGGGGGGGGGGGGGGGTGTTCCCTCGTTACAACACCGTTATGGCGTGTCCACGTCGACTATAACGAGCACTTATGTGCCCACACCGATCGCTCTAATGTCTTGTGGTAGGAGACTAGGAGTCGATAAGACGTGGGCTATTTCAAAGAAGCAAAATGGAAAGTATAATTAAAGGGAATGATATTTAACCATTATTATTTATGATATTTTCTTCACTTAAACCTTTTTTTTTTAATATCAGTAATACAATACAAACATTTTTTTTTTATTTTATCACAATGTACCAACAGCCTTTTATATTATTGGTCCTAAAAAGCATCTAATTGAAGGTAAAATCATGTATTTTATTTTATCGGTATAAATTATTTTATTTTTATTTTTCGGTCCTACAAACTCATCTAATAGAAAGTATAAACATGTTATTTACAAGGTAACGATACTCAACGATCATTTATAGGATTTCTTTAATTTAAACAGTAAACACCATATTGATTTTTATATTTTTAAATGGTCCTTAAAATCATCATATTGAAAGTATAATCATGTTATATACAAGCCAATAAAAGATAACCATTCTGTATAGTATTTAATTTGTTAATTTACTCAAAGGTCGTTTTTTATATGGGTTCATACAGCATAAACATCTTATTTTATCGGTAAATATTAGTAAGCATCAGTGTTTTTTATTATTTTTGTGGTCCTAAAAATCATATAATGGAAAGTATAAACATGTTATTTACAAAGAAATGATATTCAACGACTATTTATGGTATTTTATACGGTCAAACACCAAGCCTTTGATATTATTTAGTACACACAACATAAATATGCTATTTTATTTTGTTAATTTATGCCAATATATATTTTTTGTTGGTCATAAAAAATCATCTAGTAATCATCTTATTTACAAAGTAATGATACTTAACCATCAATTGTGATATTTTTTTTCGTTCACGATGTCATTTAAGTTGTGTTTGGCATGTCAAAGCTAGTTGATAAGCTAACTTATTTTTCGAATTTTTTTAAGTTGTCATGTTTGCCAAGCCAAAAACTAGTTTATAAGCTAGCTTTTGATGAGCTTTTTTAAAATTTTCCAAATATACTCATTAATTAATTATAGAAACACATTCTTTTAAATGTCTTTTTATATAATTTTATATTTTTCAGCTAGTTTTACCAAACGTCATTTTTTATCAGCTGTCTTTTCGTCTATCAGTTAGCTTTTTATTTAACAGATAGCTTTTCAGCTAGTACGCCAAACATAGTCTTAGTTAATCTGTTAATATATGTACATGCAGTATAAACATGCTATTTTACTTTATCAAAATACATTAACAGTTCTTTTTATTTTTCTTTGAGTGTTTGGCATTGCTTATTAAAACAACTTATGATTTTTTTTTTTTGTGAAAAGTGCTTATTAACTTCTTCGGTAATAAAATGAAGTTTTAAAAAATATGGATTAACTTATTTGAGACCAAAACATAATAAGTTGATAATTTACAGTTTAGTGTTTGGTAAAACCAGCTTATACGTGTAATGAGAACGTACCTAAACAAAAACTTCTTATTTAAGTCGGTAAGTAAGGATGAAGTAACTTATTAAAAAAATCATTATTTAAGTCATTTAGTGCTTTTAATATTCTCATATCCAAACACTTAGGAGCTATTTGTTTTTTGTTTAAAAAAAAAGAAAAAAAAATCTTCTAACCACTTATTGTTGCGCGGTGCAACACACGTGCAACACTTTTCATCCTGGAACAGTTGGTTTTTTAAAAGTTTTCAACCTAAAAAACCTTTGCGTCTGTTTTGCGACATACAACACTTGCTTTGCACCTTTAAACCGCTTCTAACCAAAAACGTAACAAAAATGGGTACAACATAAAAAATGTCACTTTTTTGTTTTCCCCCCATCGAATCTGTCACAGCTTCCTTCTCCATTCAACCTTCAATTTATAGCTTCCTTCTCCATTCAACCTTTCATTCGCTGCCTTACATCGGCACAACGTTGTCGTCGGTCAACCCAACATTCGTCTTTGCCGCCTCAGCCTCACTTCGCCATCACCATCCTCATGAACAGGTATGTTTCATTTCCTGAAATCAACAGCTTTTAAAATCGATTGTATCCTCCTAAAATCAATTTTTCTTATTAATCTTTGCTGAAATCAATGTTTCTTTTCCTAAAGTAGATTGTTCATGAACTATCATACACCCACAAAGATGTCGATTGCTAGATTTCTGATAAATCTTTTTCCTAAAATTGATTGTTCATGAACTATCATTTGAGTTGTGTTTTGGTGGGATGTGGATACTAATAAGGAGATGAAATCGATTACTGTTTTTTTTTTTCTATTTGTTAAAATTGCAGTTGGATATGTATGTGAATTTTGTGTATAATCTTGTATTCAACACAGAGTAACAAGTCTCAGTAGCAATGCTAAAGGCTAACTAGGTTGTATGTAAATCATCTGACTATATCTAGCTTAATGATACGCCTTTCGTCGAATTGGATTAACCAAAGTTGCTATAAAATGATGTATTTTGCACCGATAAAGTTGAATAAAATGCCTATAAATCATTTATTAAAGAACAAAGAAGCATTTATGATAATTATTGAATTTACTTGCTGAGACCATGTGATTACCCATTGTTGCAGAGGTTCACAAATGTGTCGAGGAAATCACATAGATGAAGACAAATCAACTACAACTCTAATAATGTTGGGATATGAAGGTGTCAAAAGAAGGGACAGTCAATATGTGATGTTAGTATGGATTATCTTTAACGTTTGAAGACAAAAGAAAAGCTCAAATGTCAATGGATAATCACATGGGTTATGAAAAATATGAAAAATATGCAAGTGAATTTTGATCGAGGGAGCTAAAGTGAAAAACTGATGTGAATTTGTGTTTTTCACTATTCTATTTACATAAATAAGTTATAAGTTACATGTATGTATTGTAAATGTATATAATCAAATTTGACTATATTTCCAATTTTCAATTTTGGGCTTTAAAAATTGATTTCCTTCGGCCCTTGTGTATCTTTGTAACGTGGAGATGTATGAATATATATTTATTTCAAAAGCATTGTACTTGCGTAGATTGTAAGATTATGTTTGCTAAAGTATGAATTCCATATGTTGAAAGTTTTTGTGATAAGTTTATGTTTGCTAAAATATGAATTCCATATTTTTTGTTATAAGCAATCGGTGTTGAAAAACTATTTTAAGTTTGCAAAGTCAGTTTATTGCAGCAGTCTGCAGACGTTAAAAAACAAATAGACTTCTTATTACAAGTTGCATTTGTTTGGTCCACCTCTTCTGCTGTAGAGGATTGCAGACGTTGGCCGCAGAGTTTAGGAGTTTTCACTTCGAAAAAACAAACAACACCTTGAAATAGCTTATTGTTGGTGTCAAATCGCACTACTAATTTGGATGAATGTATTAATTTGAAAGATTAAAAATAATTTTGAAATTTGGTTCATTGGATTAAAAGTGAGAAAAATTAGCCTTTAACATTTATTTAATTATTTTAAACCAAACGTTAGACTAATTTTATTAATAAGCATATTGACTATGACAAATATTCTAAGTATTTCGTTTGTTAGTCAATTTGTGGTCAAGTAAAGAAAATATAAACTATAGGGAGTAAATATGTAAATTATCAAATTTAAGAACACTGGCTCTTATTTCCTTTTTTTAAATTTTCACTTGCATCAATCTCTAGAGAGCTTAGAGAGGGTAAGAGGTGATGTTGAAGATTCAAAGGAAGGTTGAAGTCAACTGGATGAGATAACGAAGGAGTAGATGTCAAATTCTTCAAATAGAAACTTAAAATGTATGAATCTCTAATTATCTCCCTTTTCTAGTAATCCATGATTTTCGATTATTTCATAACTTAAAATCCTATAGTGGAACTGATGTTAGAATGAAATTCTAACTTTGATATATCATTAGATTTCTAATCTATCATTAATCCCATTTTATGTTGTTTAATTTCAACTGCATGATTGATTTGAGCTTTTATGAACTCTAGATGATGATGATATAATCATCCATTATATTTGGATTGTGATCGATGACTTCTTATGGAATCATCGTTTAGAATTCTTCAGAATACTAGCTCCTATTTCCATCTCTTAATTTCACTTACCTCAATCTCTAAAGAGCTTAGAAAGGATAAAGGTTAATTTTGAAGATTAAGTCAACTGGATGAGATAACGAAGGAGTAGAGGTCAAAATTCATCAACTAGAAATTTAAAATGCATGAATCTCATCTTATCTCCATTGTCTAGCTATCTAGGTGTAACACCCTGTTCCGAATCGTTTCCTAATTTGGGGTCGTGACCCGAAGATCGGTTATCATAAGGCTTAGGTCCTTTGAGATAGAGAGATTTAGACCCCTTGAGTGTGGGTAATGTAAGTTAGATGACCCGGTAGTTTGGTTTGTGTTTTGGAGCCCAAGGGTATATCCATAAATTGGCAGTTCAGACCTTTTATGAATTTTGGATTTTTGTTCGGAAAGTTTTAAGGAAAGGATGAGTTTATAGAAGTTTAGATCTTCTCGTTACCTTTCCGTGGATATAACGATCGTCGAAATCGTGCTTAGAACGAAGAAGTTATGGCTTTCGGAATTTTGGAGGTTTAAGGGCTACGCCTAATACGTTGGGCGTACTTAGGAGTACGATGGGTGTGCTAGGTAAGGAAGTCGCAGATACCTCATGGAGTACATTGGGCATACCAGGAGTACGCATGGCGTACTCCAGTCAGACCCAAACCCTAATTTAGGGTCTTGGACCCTATTTAAGCTCCATAACTTATGTTCAAACCCTCTTATCTTCAGCCTCCATCCCATTAAACCCTATAGCGAAACCCTAGCCTCCATTGATGTGGTTCTTGAGCTTTTGGTGTGTTTTCATGCATTTTGGTTCTCTTTGAAGAAGAATGAGCTTCTTGGAGAAGTGTGGAACGCTGGTTAGAATAGCTTGATTAGTTGGAACGTTGGTTAGACTTTCCGATGCACAAATGCTACTTGCTTTATGATTTGTGGGACTCATACTGATGTGAGCTAATTATTTCATGAATATGTTAAGTTGCATGCTGCAAATGTTAAATAATCTTAGAGTGATGGATTTGACCCTACTGCGCAGCTCTTGTTAGAGTCCAACTGTTGTAGGGATGAGTCTTTTACTCGAAGGATTATCTAAACTTTGTTGCATGTGATTGTATTTATGAAGTAGTTAGCTGACTTTAGTAGGAGTTCTTCTGCAAACTGATGGCGGGGTGAGGATGAGGAACCTAAGAGAGCCTAGGAAGTATTTTAGCAGGTTCGGATGCGTTGTTTAGCAAGTACTCGGAGTACTAGTTTGAGAGGGTGACTTAGAGGATTCAGAATGATTCTCGAGGAAAGTATGGATATGTGTAGAAGGTAGTATTGGGCCCGTACTACTGAAAGCACATGATCCATACTCGAATCAAGGAAACTCCTGGAGAATCTAGGAAACCTGTGGGATGAGGATTTTTGGGTATGTTCTAATCATTGGTATGATTGTTTTTCTGAATGGTGATGAGCATGCATGGAGGAGGTTCAGGTTCTGGTTCAGGCTTAGGTGCAGGTACTGAGCTGATTGATGAGCGGATGCGGGAGTTCATCTCGTCGGAGATTACCCACGGTATTTTAGAGCAGACTCTGGTGATCTTAGGTACGGTCAAGGAGGGGATTACGGAGATTTTGGATGAGCGTATGGGCGCATTCCGTACTGAGATTTTGGCTGTTGTTGGAGCTCGCACTCTTTCCTTCCGCGAGTTTCGTATTTGTGGAGATCTCGAGTTCTTTGGGGAGAAGGACCCCATTACGAGTAGGATATGGTTAGCGGATATGGTGAACGCTTTCCGGATGAGTTTCTACCCCGAGGGGTTGAAAGTCAGATTTGTTTCCTGTCTTCTGAAAGATAGGGCTCGAGATTGGTGGGAGGAGGTAGACTTCATTTTGGGAGGCGAAACCTTGGAGACGATGACTTAGGATGAGTTTGTGACCCAGTTTAGGGCCGATTTTGAACTAGCTATTGAGGTGCAGCAGTTGGCGAGGAAGTTTCAGGACCTTCACCAGACGACTGAGACTGTGGCAGAGATTACTGCCAAGTTCCGGGAGAGAGCCTTGTTGGTTCCGCAGTATGCAGCAGACGAGGAGATGAAGAAGGTAAGGTATCATGACATTCTGAGGGATGACATCAGGGAGTTTGTGAGTTTTTCAAGGTGCGAGACCCTGAATGATATGATCGCCTGGGCCCGAGAGCGGGAGATTGATTTGGAGCACCTTGGGAAAAGGAAGTCAGAGCATACTCAGATCGCAATGGGCCAAGCGAAGAGGCCCATGACTCAGGATTCACGTTTGGGTGGCCATCAAGGCCGAGGCCATTGTGCCAAGTTTGGTAGGACCCATGAGGGAGGATGTTGGGAGGCAGGTCGGGAATGTTTCAGCTGTGGACAGATGGGTCATTTTAGTAGGGATTGCCCCAATGGGTCGGTTCCGATGTGTTTTCACTGCAATTAGGTGGGCCACAAGAAAGCCGATTGTCCGATGTTGTGGGGTGGGGCAGTGGGTGCACCTACTCTAGTTATTTTTAGGATCACTGATGGTCGTGAGGGCAGGGCAGAAGCCCCAGCAGCGAGGAGCCGAGCATTGAAGTGCCAGTCAGGGGAGGCCATAATCTTAACCGATGCTATCGTGGGTATGTTATCTTTTGTATTTCTTTCATGCCTTAATATTAGTATTTATATTCGCTTTGGAATCTTGTGTCGATATGGGTAAGCATTATCATTGGTTTAGTTCTCTGTTATTGTCGGGATTATATCATCGAGAATTGTTATATGCCATTTTTGCATGCCAAGAGTTATGAGTGGGGCACCTCTTGTGATCTGGATTTAGTCCGTCTGGTGGTTGTTTGGGCTTGTTGATGGGGACAATTCAGGGGTATCGCATGGAAGATCTATAGACGAATTAGCATGATTAGTTTAACAACGAAGTCAGAGATCGAACGTGTTAGCATTTTCTCAAGAAGGAATGGCAATCATTCATGGAAGGACCTTTGGGTCCAGTCACTACAGTTGCTAGGGAAGGAGCGGTAGCAAGAAGATGATGTTGGCGGTCGCATGAGTTGTTTGGATATTAGAAGTGCCAAAGGAATTTCATATCTGCAAGGGTTAAAGATGGTTAGAATGCAGGGATCCTTCGGAGAGTGGGAAGTTGGAGTGGTGATTCACCAGTTCCAGTTAAGGATTATAGTATTTGTCACAACCATAAAGGACTTAAGGATGTGGTGATGTATCATGGGAAGTGTTCGGGGTTATCGGACTTGCCGAGGTTTCGGGGAGTGTCCATCTGGATTTTCGAATGTTTGTGTGATCATTAAGATCGACTAGTAATGGAACGTTGGTATTTGTAAGCTCAGTTTGTATTGTAAGGATGTGAGATGGATCGGAAATCCATCAAATTTTGTGGAATGTAAGAACGCATTCAAATCCAAGTGGGGGAGAATCATTCGGATTTCTGGGAATTGGATTCAGGTTGAGGGTTGTGTTAGAGCTTCTCTGCCTGTTCTTTTCTGATTATGGTTCACTACAAATAAAATGACATTTAGTGGCATAGAAAAAGTGCCACTAAAGACCCCCTAGGCAATCAACGACACAAAAAAAGTGCCACTAAAAGCGCTGCCACTAAAGGCCTTTAGTGACACTTTTTGGTTGTGTCGATGCAGCCTAATTGGGTTTTAGTGGCACTTTTCTACTATGCCACTAAAGAACTTATAGGTTTTAGTGGCACTACTTTTATGTCACTATTTAACCGGTACAATAATTATTATTTTCATGAAATTAGTAAAA